TTTTTTCTTACTGTATGATGTTCTTAATTCGTCTGAAATACGCCCACAAATGAACTGTAATATTTTTATTTCTCGTCATTATTATGAACAGCCAACAGCAGTGGTTCAATGGATTTTTTTGCGCTGTATATGCATTTTTACAAATATGTGAAAGTGTGAGATCTGCAGGACATAAACACCATCTGAGAGTGATTTTAAATATGGCATACCTCTTTTCCAGATGCTGATGTACTGGAATATACCAATAAACTAAAGCAGAAACAAATTTGTTTGACTCTTCTAGGATTATATATTCATATGCACATCCAAAACTAAGAGTTATTGGTTTCCTGTACTGAGTTATAACACAAACAGACCGCTGCTGTATTTCCATATATGACACAGGTTGTGCAACTTCTCAGTTGTATTACTTTTTTTGTTGTGTTAAATTATGATTTTAACGTATCAGATCTAAAACCAGCAATTCAAAAGACAAGCATTGCATTTTATTCTTGCTTTTCATTAGTTTATTTCTAGAATATAAGAACCTCACAAATTACAAATAAAATGTTTTATTTTTTGCACAATTCACTGGTAGATCCAGTTAACTTAAAGGAAACTATTACAATCATTTATTTTACTGGTTTAATGATCAAAAAAACTTTTTTTTTAATCTTAAGAAAGAGGTGTGAACCATACGAAACTGAAGGTCATTTAAATACATTTAAACTCAACATTTTGCTTTTATATTTTCTTATACTCATTGCTATACAAAAAAACAGCCCATACAAATGGTTTCTCAGTAAATTAAATGGTTGAAGACAATCCCTCATTAAGGAACATGTTTTTGTGGTGACCTGACAAAATAACAACCCTTTGTTACCAAGTAACAGAAACCCAGGGATTAAATGTAACGTCCATAGTCAGGATGGGGGAAGAATATTGTGAGTTTCCATGACTTGTTTTTCTTCATTTTGGGGCTTTGAAGGGATTAGTAAAAAGAGGGAGCAAAGTAACCAATGAATCATGGAGATCACTGATAAGGTTGGTAGGTTTTCTCTAATCCAGGAAGTTGCTGAGACCACTGGTATAAAATTAGATGAATTGAAGCATGACCCCTGAATATAAAGGAGTGGTGCGCAGAGGCATAATGAAGGAGGACTTTCTCTCAACATGGTACCGCTCTGTTTTCATCTCCTCATGCTTTGCTTTAGCAAAGATTTAAATTTTTGATAACTTTCTGTTTCTGTGTCACCAGGTTTCTGCTGCTTCCACCATGCTGTCCGTAAAACCAACTGGAGCGTCTCTTCTTTTATTGTATTTTCTCCTTTACATAGCTGAATCGTATGCCAACGTTGAGTCTTCAAGCGGTAAGAACCGACTATGTTTGCAAATTCTGCTGAAACTCGTCTGTGCACAGATTAGACATCCATGGCTCCTTTTTGTGAATCGTCTTCTGTTGCAGTGAGCTGCGAGGAATGCAAGCTGAGATTGAACAAGCATTTTTCAAGGGACCGGCCCATTTATCAGTGTATGGGCTGCTGCTTTTCCAGAGCGTACCCCACACCCCTCGGGTCCATGAAGACCATGATGGTCCGAAAGAACATCACCTCAGAGGCAACATGCTGTGTTGCAAAGCACAGCTATGAGGTAATCTTGTGCTATAAATGATATCACATGAAATTAAAATTACATGTTTATGTGCAGATTTATGTATTGAGCTCTTTACTTCTACGTCACCAGGTCAGAGGGAAACTGTCCTTTTGATTTCTTATTAATTATACTATTTATTACACTGTAGTTTTCAGTTAATTGGCTAATTGCCGGTAATTGGGGCAGCTGTGGCTGAGTGGTTAGAGCAGACGTCCTCCAATTGGAGAGTTGGGGGTTTGATTCCACCAGCAGTCACATGCTGAAGTGTCCCTGGGCAAGACACTGAACCCCTCACTGCCTCCGATGCGTGTCCCATCAGTGAATGAATGTGATAAAAACACTGATTATTTTTAGATGCTGTATGAATGAGGGCACAGATTGTAATAAACTACTTTGAGTATCTTGATAAGACAGAAGGGCACTATATAAATACAGCCCATTTACCATTTAATTATAGCAAAACCTTATAGTAGTGTTTCCTGTTACAAACTAGCATCAAGTTGGAAAAGATTCACTCAAAAAGGCATTGCACAATTTTCCATTATGTCATGATAACAAATTTTGTTATTGCGATAAACGATAATATTGTTTGAAATTTGACAATAATTAGTAATTATTGTCAAATTTAAGAATAAATGTTGGTTAATTTGTTTTGCATGTAGTACCTTTTTTGACCACCGGATGGCAGTATAAGACTGTTTGAACCGAAGGATGGATAGTGAGGGAGCGATCAGCATGTCGCTTTAAGAAAAATGGGAGGGAGGCCCCTTGACGTGACATGGGCTGTCTCTCTTCGGTTCTCAAAATGGCGGACGCTCAGTGTGGTTTGAGCTCTTTAGCATAACATTTGTCACACAAAGCTTTTAATTAAAAAAAAAAATCAGTAAACAAGTTTTCAGCTTCTTTTTGCAGAGAAAAACAACTTTTTACACGAAGGTTTCAACCGTGAATTTTGGAGCTTCGACAAGATGGATTTTTTTTTTTCGGTCCGTTAGCTCATAGCTTAGCTGCTTTTATCGATCCAAAAACAAGATCTTGGACGGTTAAAATGGATTTTAAAGAGAAAAGAGAAAGGGCGGGGTCAGTGAAGAGCACCGGAGTTGAGCTTTTTGTCATCAAGTGTCTTCGTAATAGAGAGCCACGAAGAAACGATAAAGCAGATAAATGAAAACGAGGTCAATAATTTTCATTTATCATGCGATTTATTGATTAATTGATTTATCGTTTATCGCGACAGGCCTATCAAAGATCTTTATTCTTATTCTTAGTTGTGTTCATTTTAATGCTCATCAAAAATTAATTTAGATGAGTGCTTTCATGACACGATATCCTTAAACATAAGTTCATTTACTAAAGCTCGTGGGAAATATTCTAAATTGATTCAGCATTCACTTTAAAAGCACACGTGACAGTTCAAGTACGATATAGTTACGATATTAAGCTATATTGTTCTAATTAAGGTTTGGAATAAGAAATAAGTCTTATTCTGAGCCTGGCAGAATAAATGACACTGAGTAGCACCTGATGAAAACAAATATTAACAACCTGCTACTTTTCTGTTTCTCTTGCAGACAAATTTTGGCGACATAATGCTGAGAAACCACACAGAATGCCACTGCAGCACCTGCCTTTTCCACAAGATATGAATGACTTGACCGCACCCTGCATCGCCCCGCTTGGCAGCGCCTCGGGCTTCTTTCAAAACCTGCACGTTCCCTCCAATTTAAAACATGCGCTCTTGCCAGATACTATTTTTTAGTAGAGGTTCAGTGTTTGTGATGTGTAATGAGCTTTCCGGTTTGCGTGGATAAATGTATTTAAATGTTTGTGGATTTGAAATTAATTAAAATGTGCACCAAGAGGCTACATTTTTATGAAGGTGGTTTATGTCAAAACCTGTTGATTCTGGATTGAGGTCATATTAAATATTAATAATTTAATAATCCAATACATGTTGTGTATATTTGAAGGAAAACGTTTTTATGTAACGAATGACAGAAATGTAAGACAGCAAAGTAGCACGTTAAATGAAACGCCTAATTTTAACACAGTTCAACAACTGAGCAACCTTGTTAAAAATTCTGTAAAGTACAACACAAATGGATGAACTTTGGGAAGTTAAATGAATAAAAAAGATTTTAAGTGTGAAACAGCCTATTTTAATTAAAGCTTTCCTGTTGTTACAAAGGAACATGGTGATCGAGTAAGAGTGGAACAAAGCAATTTTTTTGTGAGCATCTGCCTTGTTGAGGTGTTATGTCACCCACTTCAATGTTATCAGCCATTAAATGGTCGTTATTAGTTGTTATCATCCCCATATGTAGCAGACAGACTGCCCCTCCTGTACCTCCTAGTGGGTTTAAAGGTATGTTGTTAGCGATGATAATAGGCTCGTTTTTACCTTTGTTAGCGCTCATAATAGCTTCACGTGGTTAGGTTTAGAGTAAAGGGTCTGGCGGTTAGGTTTAGGGTCTTGGTATAAGTTTAGGCACAAGGGTAAGGGGGTTAAGTTTAGGGTTGGTCCTCTGGGTCAGGTGTAAGGTTAGGTTTAAGAAAAGGGTTACATAAGCTGAAAACCCTCCAAAAAAGACACTTCTTGGTTTACCCCTGTGCGACGCTGTCTATTATCAGTGATAATAACGTACCTTTAAACCTACTAGGAGGTAGGTGGGACAGTCTCACAGCTACATATGGGGATGAGAACAACTAATAACGGCCATTTAATGGACTGATAACATCCAAAGCCGCTCGTTATGTCAGAGTGAGGCAGGCTGATTGTGAAGATGCAGTGATGTACAGCATGAAACCTTTGAGGGACAAGAAACATGAGAGTATTTCACACCAGGGGATGGGTGAGAGGAAGTTAAAGTTAACTGAAAGTCAACTTCAGGTGGTACTGTAATTCAGTTTTCTCACTCAGAGTACAGGAATATAATTTAATGATACAGGACTCGTGATTATTGGTGGGCTTAAAGATACCCTGAACACCCACAAAAACTTATTTCCAGAACCATCCAAACGATCTGTTGCATTTCCACCAACGTCTAAGGACAATACACAAAGAAGGAACACCATTCAGACCCATCAGCATCATAAACTCAGTGAGAAATAATAATGTAAAACATACTGCTGATGTTTAAGCTCCTCTTGTTGGAAACACTTCACAACTCGTGGGTTTTGGCAAACGTCAAACATTTGAAGCTGGCTCCAGGACAAACTCTTCTTTCCCTTGATGCCACTTTTTCACTTGTATTCTAATGTCAGAAAATGTCAGATAATGGCTTCACCAAGATAATGACCGTCTTCTTCTTTCAGCTTTTCCCTCTTCAGGGGTCGCCACAGCGAGTCATCCTCCTCCATGTCACTCTGTCCTCTGCATCATCAAACAAGATACAACCCTATCTGACACAACGCTCACCATGTACCCGGGCTTGGGACTGGCACAAGAGATACATTGGCTTGTGGCTAGTTTCAACAAGATAATGACCTACTGGTAAACAACCATTTTCACCCCAGACCAGATCTGTATCCGTCTAGACTTCTGTATTTTCCACCACAGACATGTCTCCTGCAGGAGCATGGTAGTTTATGGCATCGTGGGCAATCTCTATATGGAGGAGGTAGAAGGAGATCCCTGAACTTTTTTGAGGGAACAAAACCAAACCACTGGTTGAAATATGATGACACCTGGGTTAAAACCCAAGCAAGTCCAAACTTGCCAGCATAGCATCTCATCCAGTTCAAAGCTTGGACCGCCATACATATGCTTCCATTAGGTAAAGTTATTAAACAGCATGGGATAAATTTTCATTGTTATGCTGATGACACACAATTATATTTGTCCATTAAACCCAATGAATCCAATCAGCTACTTAGACTACAAGCATGTCTTAAAGACATAAAAACCTGGATGACCTTTAATTTTCTCCTTTTGAACACAGACAAGACTGAGGTTTTAGTTTTTGGACCTGAGCACCTTAGGAATGGATTTTTTTAGTCTTTCTCCCTCCTTAGATGGCATTAATCTGTCCTCCAGCTCTAATGTTAAAAATCTTGGTGTCATTTTTGATCAGGACATGTCTTTTATCCCCCACATTAAAAACGTTACTAGAACTGTCTTCTTCCACCTGTGTAATATCACTAAAATTAGAAACGTCTTATCTAAAAATGATGCAGAAAAACTGGTCCATGCATTTGTCACATCTGGACTGGACTATTGCAATGGTTTATTATCTGGGTGTCCAAATACTTCTTTAAAACGTCTTCAGTTGATCCAAAATGCTGCTGCCAGAGTCTTAACTGGAGTTAATAGGAGAGATCATATTTCTCCAGTTTTAGCTTCTCTCCCATGGCTCCCTGTCAAATCCAGAACAGAATTCAAAATCTTACTTCTAACCTGCAAAGCTCTCAAAAACCTAGCTCCATCTTATATTACAGATCTTATTGTTCCATATTTTCCTAACAGAGCACTTTGCTCTCAGGCTGCAGGTTTACTTGTGGTTCTTAGAATTTACAAAAGCAGAATAGGAGGCAGATCCTTCAGTTATCAGGCTCCTCTCTTGTGGAACCAACTTCCAATCTCTGTCCGTGAGGCTGACACATTGTCCAGTTTTAAGACTGGGCTTAAGACTTTCCTTTTTCCTAAATCCTATAGTTAGGGTTGGCTTGGGTTTCCTGAGCTGTCCCTTAGTTATGCTGCTATAGGCTTAGACTGCTGGAGGACAAACTGACCACACTTTTCACTCTGCTACTGTCTTTACTTACTCTGCTCAACATTTGTAATTATTTTTTCTATCCTAAAATGTGTTTTTTAGTCTTTCAGATACACCTGCACCAACATCTGGACCTGCCATTCTGTGTTCGTCTGTCTCTCCTTCCTGTTCCTCTCAAACAAGCCGGTCAAAGCAGATGGCCGCTTGTCCTGAGCCTGGTTCTGTTGGAGATTTATTTCTGTTAAAAGAGAGTTTTTCCTTTCCCCTGTTGCCTTTGTGCTTGCTCAGGATGGGAGACTGTGACGAAGCCAAGATTCAACTTGTCTGCTGGATTCCTTAGATAGAGAACTTTACTAATTGGCTTTTATGTATTTGAATGTTTCTGTAAAGTGCCCTGAGACAACTTTGTTGTGATTTGGTGCTATATAAATAAAAGTGCATTGAATTGAATACTGTCCAGTTTTTTTAATTGAGAAAGAAAAACATTTTCAGGCTAGATCAGTTTTGTTACTTTTTTAAATCATGTCCTGGATGACCAGGAATTTACACTAGCAAATGGTCACTAAAGCCAGTGCCGGCCCAAGCCTCCATGGGGCCCTAAGCAGCTTGATTATGCCTAGGGCTAGCCTTGACTAAAGCCACTATAATTTGTAACTCATTAAAGCTCTCTTTGAACAACAGAAATTCAACCCGTTTGCAGACAACATTCAAACATGTTGATTCATTCACCATTTAAAAGTCTGTGTGGCAGGTAGAGAAGAAGTTCATTGTCATGACAAAGCAGTGATTTACAGACATACAAACTTTCACCCCATTGTTTCCACTGTGACACAAATGGATTCACTTCAGCTGTGGACACGTGTATTGTTTACATATTTTATTAGATAAAGTTGGCACGGCAGACCCTTGTAATGCCGGTTCTGTGAGAGCACGCACTCACTCGGGCAGCGTGCCTTGACACTTCAATGGTGCTTGTGGTTATGCGTTTGCGCATTGGAATGTAAATGTTGTAAGACAGCTTGACATCTAAAACGCCGCTTTGTTTAGCAGACAGGAGCTTTCACTTTTCTGTCTGCTGCCACACAACGCGTTCTGTGACACACTTCTGCAAAGGTGATTGAACTTGTGCTTCTACAGCAGAGGTGTCAACCTCTGGTCTTCAAGGTGGGGCCACTTTTCTGCATGATTTGAATATTTATTTGCTTTAACACATATTTAAATGGCCACTAAGAAGCGTTTGAAGAACTTAATGACCTATACAATGCATACATTTGGAACAGGTGGCCCTCGGGGGGAGGCTGACACCCTTACGTATGCCACATATGCAGATGAGCGTGGAAATTAAAGTCACAATTAGTATATACAGTATATATTTTAGTTGGAACGAAGGGGTTGCACTTTCTTGCCCCATTTTGGAGCTTTCTCAACTGTTGTCATCTTCAGCTCATTGGGCTACTTGTTGAATCTACAAACAAGAAATTATTCCTGCAATATAGAATCTGAAAATCGACATCCATCCATTATCTTCAAGGTTTCTTCCTTTCAGTGTTGCGGGGTGGCTGGTGCCCACGTGCAACAGTCACTGCGAGACGCGGGGTACACCCTCGACAAATCGCAAGTCCATCACACAAACGAGACAGCCAGCCATTCACTCTCAACCACACTGAGACAATTTAGAGTTAGCAATCCCCCTATGGTCATACTATGTAATACTTGAGACTAATAAAGGTTGAATGAATGAATACTTTGGTCCAGTGCGCATTTGATTGCTTAGATTTGTTTATTTTATAGGTGTTTAAATTCTCAGCCAAAATCACAGGCGCACTACAGTCCCACCCCAACTATGGTTCTGTTTGCACTACGCTGTTTTTAAGTGACGTTGTAACATTTGTCGCGTGTTGGTCATTTGTCTACATAACATGCAGGGACAACAGACCTTCAGGTATGGAATAGGCGGTATGTCCAGTATTCAATGTTGTTGTTTAACTAATCATTTGGTTACACGTGCACTTTTATTATACAAAGACAAATTATAAACTTCTTTTATTGATATTTGATGTTGTAATAGCGAAGTGTCCTCAACGTACAACCTTGATAGCATGCAGAGCATGACTGAAACATAAGTAGATATTACTGTGTAGAGACCAAGTATATTTCAACAAATTGGAGTAATATAAGAATACTGATGTGTAAAGCAAAGGTGTCAAACTCTGTTACAAAAGGGGATAAAATTAAAAACTTCTTCTGAGCCACGGGCCAGTTTCAGTTAATACCAGACATCTTTTCTTGGTTGCACATCAACAAGAGTTTGATCGGCCTCGTTTGACGTTCTCGATTGCTCTTTCCACATGAGAAATCAAAGATTACTGAAAGATTCAAGCTTTCGACCGTTTTTGGCTTCAAGGTTAGCCAGCTGCCATGAGAAGTCTGCACTAAATGAAAAATCCATTAGTCTTTTAAGTAAAATGAGAAAAGATGTAAAATATTTTACATTTAATATATCTTGGTCCAGATAAGATGCTAACAAGGACCAGATTTGGCTCGTGGGCCTTCAGTTTGACACATGTAAAATGAAGCGTACTGTAAAAAGGCCAGTGTTCAGAACTGAAGGGTCTGTGCACACGCTTGTTGTTGAAATGCAACAACCACAGCACCAGCTATGGATTCAATGTTTATTGCGGTCTTGTTCACAGCGCCGCTCGGGGTGGCCACATGTTGGAGTAGCTCTACATTCATTTTGAGATTTGGCATTTGGAAACTTTAATTCCTCTTTTTCTGGATGTAAATCAGTTTTTTGGGGATGATTGTTTCCTCTGACATCAAATGCTGTGCAGCTGCAAGAATTATTACTGAAACTTTTTTAGTTTTGGACATTTGTTATGATGCATAACCATAACAACAAGGTGTTTTACAACAGCCAATTAAAATCTCAAAAGCTCCAATAATAACTCAGCTACAGTCCCACATCTCAAATGAGTTGAAAAGGAGGCGCCGTAGATGCATTCCCGTCTCCTTGCCATCTGTGCTTGAATGCCTGACCACAGAGATCCTGGAAATGGCAGGAAACGCGGCTTGTGACAGCAGAATGACCGATGAGGAGCTCAACAGGCTTGTAAGAGCCATATCAGTGAAATAAGTAATTGATGACTTGTCAGGTGAGCACGCAGCTTTGACACTTGGGTGGTGGGTGTGTCAGTGTGTGTGTGCTGACTGTCATCAGATATAAATGACGTGCTAACTGGCGTTCTGGCTTTGTATGGATGAGGAAGTTGGGTGCGCCCGGATCATCATATTTTCTGTTGACCGTGTTATAAGATGCTGTAGTTATGCCATTAAGCATTTATCAATAGTTTGGACCTGGTCAGTATGCGTCTCAGTCTGTGTAATGTTTAACACATGGAAATTTGAAACGGAATAAACGATCATAACACGAAGAAGTGACCTGGCGTGACGTCAGTTTGGAAACACGCGTCAGACAGAGATTCCCAAGTCTAACCCAGTGCGGCCCTCAACTCCATAAGTTTGCGGCATAATGTAGGCTGCTTGGAGGAGTTCTGCCCGGCGTTCGGGTGGTCCTGCAGACCAGAGGAACCAAAAAGCCATTTGAATCTGTGTGGATGGATTGGACGGCATCTGCGGCCAGTTTCTTTGGATCTACTCTGGGATGGATGTTTACAAGAGATCCTTCCTGCCTACAGCCGTCAGTATCTAAAATCTCTTAACGAAACGAGGATAACGAGTTACATTTAATCTCCCTTTGGAATTAATAAAGCGTTGTTTGACTTGAATTTGAATTGAATTGTCCTAATGCAATCTCATGGTGCCATTTCCACAGTCGACAAAAAAAAAAAATCCCAGGCGATCGCTCATGTGTAAACAGTCTAAACTAAACCCATCCCCACTGCTACAGTTGTGATGAACCTGATGGAGGACAGGAAAGTGGAAATATGCAGGGGATACTTTGTGAAGCACAGCAACAAGTGCCGCGCAGCAAAAAAACAAAGCAAGCAAATACACAGCTCCAAATAAAGATAAGAGCTGTGTTTAAGGCATCAAAGTAAAAGGCCTTTTCCTCAAATCCCACCCTGAAGGTTTCTGAAACCCCCTCCCTACCGAGGCCTTTTATGAGGCAACCTCTCCCCCCAGAACTCATGTTTTGTTCCTGGTTCCTGCAGCTGAAATGCCCTTTTGTTGATACTGGTGTGTGTGTGTGTGTGTGTGTGTGTGTGTGTGTGTGAATGGGGGCGCACACTCTCTGACGAGCTCTCCCTTCCCCCCTCGTTGCGTGCGCGTGCGTGTGCCAGTCTGGCAGCGTAACATCTGTGCGTACGCGGTCGTGATTGTTGTGAAGATGGCGGAGGGGGAGACAGAAAAGGAATATGATACACGGAAAGCTACCGACGAGCTGCGCGAGCGCTTCCAGGGTTTGACCACGGCTTTGAAGGAGAGCTCGCAGTCGTCGCTGGAAGCCTCCTTGCATTTCTGCCAGGAGTTCTGCCAGGTTAGCCCCTCGTTGTCCCGCTGCTCATCCCGGGGAAGCCTGCAGCCCCTCTGGCTTCCTGGCCGAGGATGCGCGTTCGCTACAACAATGTAGCTAAGGAGCTAGCAGCCCTGCTAGCTGCCTCGCATTCAAGATGGGGGAAGAAAGAAAGAAAGAAAAAATTTTTTTTTTCTTTCTTTCTTTCTTCCCTGTCCGTTCCCAGTGTGTTCATGTGGCGTTGTTCTGTGCAACAGTTTGACATTTCAGGAGACGTGAGCTTACTGCAGAGTCTGCCAGCTGTGCAAGTATTACCCGTATTTTCCAGGCCGATGAATGTTGCTAGCTGGTGTGCAGGGTCCCCCAGTCCTGTGCAGTGGTCGTGCTGTGCAAAAAAAAAAAAAAAAAAGAGCTGCGTTAGCGACATTTTCCAGAACTATTGCATGAACGTGCACTGATCATGTATTGTAGCCGGGTAATGTCGCTGAAACTAATGATCTGGTTATAAAATAAATGGCTTTCATTGAACGGGGGGAGAGCGGCGATTTTTTTTTTTTTTCCTCCAGGATGCTAGCCGGGCCTTTTGCACTAATTAATCCCGCATATCACGTCCGAGCAGATGCTAATTGCAGCTTTATAGCCATCCCTTTGAAAACGCGTGAAAAAGAGTCCAGAGCTAATAAAGCGGGTCTAAAATGGTGATTTGTAGCAGAAAGCGTCAGTCAGTGGTCACCGACTCCATTATCCTCATTAATTAGCCGCAAATAAGCTGGTCTCCATTTTTCTGCCACGATGTGCACAACTGCAGGTCATCACTGTGCACGAGACAGATGTTACAGGTTTGTCACTGCTGAGAGGAATCCGCTTAACTTTAAAGTTATTTAGTGGAATAAATACATAAATGGTGAGCTGATCAGTTTGTGTCCCGTTTTGTTTCCAATAGGCTCAAGATTTTCATTTTTTTTGTTTTAGGGTTTTGTTTGCACGCAGCGAGTGAAAATGGGATTACCAAGAAGCGTTTGTTGTAAATGTAATTAATTACACGCTGACATCATGAGCACAAACTTTTCTGAATAAATGTTGAGAAACTTCATGACCTGAACCATTTACCTGAAGTATAAGCCATTTAACATAAACCTTTGCCAAGCATTCTTTATATTTGTATGTGTTTATGACCAGTATTGTTATTCTGTGAAACATATTCCATTTTTTTTTACTTTTATTTGAGTTCTGTAATTTTTCTCAAGACCTCACATTTGGCATTTTGTGACCACAAATGTCCCAATCCTAACTGGGAGTCACTGATCTATTGTAGTTTTAAATAGCACCACAGTAGTTAACTAGTAAATAGTAAATGGGCTGTACTTATATTGCACTTTTCTATCTCATCAAGAAACTCAAAGTTCTTTATACTACAATCTGTGCCCTCATTTACCCATTCATACAGCACTCTACTAGATCTATACACAGTTAATCAGAGCTTTATCACATTCATACACTGATGGGACACAGCAGAGGCAATGAGGGGTTTGGTGTCTTGCTCAGGGACACTTCAGCATGTGACTGCTGGCGGAATCGAACCCCCAACACTCCCATTGGTGGGCGACTGCTCTAACCACTCATTCACATCTGCCCCATAAACAACGTAATAACTTAGAATTAACAACATAGCCTGACAAATGTGGTTGGATTAAATAATGCAGCCTAAATCTTAGTTTACTGCACTATTCTTCAGAATGGAATGATGTTTCATAATTTTGTTTAAATCCAATGGAGGTATCCATCGTCTCAAAAAACCCATCACATCCAAAGAAACAAACAGTTACATTTAGGAGTCTAAAAACTAAGAATGTTTTGCATTTGTTGAGGATCCTCTGATTTTTAAAGATCTAACATTTTCTTCATTCATTTTTCTCATCCGTTTGTTTTTTCCTCAGGTCCTGGTGGAACATGCTGGCCGTTGGAAAACGGACGAAGATCCACTGCCCTTGTTGCAGGTTTACACCATGGCCATCCTCAGCTTCGCTGAGGCTTCTTCCTGTCTCTCCTCCGAATGTGAAAATGGGCCACTCCTACTTGAAAAGTTAGCATTGTGAGTAAAAACTGCAGCATGCTTGTGTTTCTCCAGATGGCAGTCCTGAAGGCACTTTTATTTTCATGGTTCTGTTGCAACACACCATTTCACTTACCGTTATCCAAGGAGGGCGCCCCGCCCTGTCAACAGAACCGAGTGCCCCGCCTAACGAAATTGTCCTCAACCCCCCACCTACTCAACAACTGCTGGCATTGATGTAGCGCTAAGCTAGCGTTGCGCAATTGGTTCAACCTTTATTTATAGAACAAAGTCCATGCTCAATAATCCAGGTATACAATCCAAAAATTTTCAGTCAGGTCATCTGGACAGTTTCTTTTTTTGTGCTGAAACGTTTCGCCTTCGATCCAGAAGGCTTCATCAGTCGAGGAAACACAACAAAACTGATTCTTCCCCCAACAGCTTACTCCAAAGTGGAACAAACCAGTTCTGCTTGTGATAAGATGGTCTCTTTGGTACGCCCCCTCCTCCATTGCCGGCCCTCTTCCTTGTTGGCAGTCTTGTCAAACTGGTTGAAAACAACAAAGTCCATGCTCAATAATCCAGGTATACAATCCAACATTTTCCAGTCAGGTCATCTGGACAGTTTCTTTTTTTATACAGTCTTGTTGAGCGACAGGGACTCATTTACAAGAGAGACCTGGTTTTAACAAAGAGTGAGGACAACAGTGGACAATCATAAAAGAAAGCATATAAATTGAGAAGAATAAATGAAAGAAAACGATATTAAAAGAAAAACAAAACTAAAACATCTAGGTTATAAAGCAATATAAAAAACTAAAAACAGGAACATGTCTGCGGCGCGCAATATGCTAGCTAAAAAGCTAGAGACGTAGCGCTCTGCTTCCTGTCAATGCAGCTGACCTTGGAGAAACACTGCTAGGTCTTATCACAGGAATATAAAACTGGGAGGGGGTCACACTACTGTGGGAACAAAAAGCTAAATCAGTGAAACGAGCTGCTATAGGTGAGCACAAACAAGGAAAAATTCAGTTTTAGTTGAGCACAACTGCATCGTATTTATTTATGAGAGGGAAAATAAATTCAGGCAAAGGTCCAATCAAATCGTTAATGTGTCAACGGTCTGCATGAACTACTCATGCAGTTTTTTTTATATGATTCTTAGTTTGGAACTGGAAAAAAAACACTTGCTTCACAAAAAAAAAAAAAAAAAAAAATCTAAAGTTCTCAAATTGGATGCAGCTAAAAATGACAAAATAATACCTATTTAGTTAAAATTGGTTGAGAAATGGGAAGTTATGTAATTTTAGAGGATTAAAAGAAGCTGATCAATTAAAAGAATTAAATGAAGATCGTCATTTCCGGGGCTTCAGAAACCACGTTCGGGTCAACAGATCGCCATGAAAGTTACTCAGAACGTAGAAAGTAATGTCCTGCTTTCCTTTTAATGAATACGTTTGATGTTTGACTTTGTGATCACAAATGAACCACCTGTCCCTGTGATTGGAGAAAACTTGATAAAAGAAAAAATACAATCAGAAAACTTGTAGTTGAAGACCCATAAACCAAACAAAATGTAAAAACATGACACATTTTCTGCCTTTTCTCCCCCAAACCTTCTATAGAGGAGCCACTACGGCTGCTTGTTCAACATAAATTGCAAAAAGACCTCTATTTATTTAGTCGGCATGTATTTCCTCCTGCCTGTGGTGTAGTTGAGCAGAGATGTGCATTGGAACACCTCAGGTGCAAAACCCACGCGTTTCAATTTTATTCAACAACTTGGAGCCTTCCTTTCTGTACGTTAGTGGTGCGCTGCTGTTTCACTTCCCCTGGAAACATTAACTTTGAATGGTTATTCCTGTTTTGTAGAATTTGTGCACGTCCTTGACCTGAATGTGGCTTTAACGAACGCTTGTGTTGGATTCACAGGAGCTGTGCGGAGCTGCTACTTTTAATGCCCCAGCATATTCCTGGTGCCTTATGGGAGGAGTTCCAGTCCTCCATGAAGGTCGGTATCCTTCAGGCTATTAGACATTATACTCTGGCTCATTTTTGCACTAATGAATAGTGAAAAGTGGTCATAAAGCTCAGTATTTAAGCAGTGAAAGGTAGATTTAATGTTTAGTTATATAATAAAACAGTCTTAACGGATATGTAGGTTTGTGTGGAACAAAACAAAATCTGAGGGATCAAAAACGAGTTCCTGTTTTTTTTTGACGTTTTGTTGCAGTTGGCACACAACCTGTTGCTAGAAAGTGGGAGCACGCAGCTTTGTGCGCTCTCGGTTCTGGCACAGCAGGATGGTGTCTGGGTCAACAGCACATTAAACAGCATCCTGTGCAATCAGATTCCTCAAACCGAACAAGGTGAGTCCCAAATTCACTCTAAATGTGTTTAGACTCACAACAATACATTTTACTGTTCATGAACTAAAAGTTCATCGCTGGAGTTCACTCGTCTGTGTCTTCTTATCTTTTTTCTCTCTTCTAGTCCATGAGTATCTTGAATTGGAGGGTCCCGCGCTTGTTAACATGCGAATAAAGCACCTTATTCAAGTGGGAAGTATTGATAAAGCTGCTGTCCTGGGGAAGATTTGCTCAGAGTATCCAGGGTATGAAGGGAAAGGGAACTTCAAACAGATCTACCTGCTCTGCATCTGCATGACAAAAAGTCAGGAGCAGCTGATGGAAGAGGTAAGAAACCGCTCGCCGTAGATTCAGTGTTGATTAGAGCTGGACACACAAAAGAAAACTCCAAATAAAACCAATTAATTGTACTTTTGAGGTCAGTTTTCTCCGTGTGACAGGTTTTCTGTGAGACTTTTATTGCTTTGCCTCTTAACAGATTTCATCGATAGACTGTAAAGATGCTCTTGAAATGATCTGCAACTTGGAGTCGGAGGGCGATGAGAAAGGAGCTCTGTGTTTGTGCACTGCCTTTCTCAAGCGGCAGCTGATCCAAGGAGACGTTTACTGTGCTTGGTAGGTGCCGCAGTTGCTTTGAGAGAGGATAGAGAGCATTTTGAAGCAAGTTCAGCACAGACCAGCCTTCTTTGTTCTAGCTGCCCTGATCAAACCTACAGCTCTTGTCAAAAATAATAAGTTACATTGACAAAGAATAGGATCGTAAGATAAGTTGGGATTGCGTGGAGGTCACTGTGCAGTATTGCTGGGATTGCAGCGATTCCAGAGTTTCAAACTAAAATCATTGTATGCCAAGAAATCTTGCAAGTGACAATAATATGCACAATCTCACAAAATATTGCACGATCTCAAACGAACTGAAAGTTTAATTAAAATGTTCAGTAGCCAAACAGATATTTTGCTAACAGACCGATCTGCACACATGCAGACACAGACAAAAACATTATTGCTCGCTCGTCAGTGGCAGACAAGAAAAGTCGTTTTGTAAAAGCTGCGTATCTGTACCAGATATAACAATTATCCACTGCAAGAGAGAATGATGATTTATAGAATTAGGGCTAAAACTTTATTACTGGTTACATGAATTGATTTATAACTTATATTTTACAAAACAGTAAATGTTCCAGTTTTTCAAGCTGATCATACACGATTCAGTCTTTGCTCCTTCACAATTAAAACTTAGAAAACCAGGTTGGAAAGTGAACAATAAATGTGTTTTTTAAAAGCATTTAAGTAGGTTTTGGTGTTTTAATTTCTTTGTGCAGCTCTAAGTCTTGATTTCTGAAGCAGAAAAGGAGAGTGGGAAAATAAAAGTATGACATGCTCTATAAATAACATCTTGCTCTTATCAAAGACAAAGAAAAATAACAAATACTTCAGAAAATATATATAATTTTGTCTTAAGGACTAGATTTGTTTACCACACATCATGGTGTAATTAGCTCTGATGTGCTCAAGCATCTACTGCTCTGAGTTTTATGCACAGAAACAAAAAAAGGTGCATACCTTCCTTAATGTTTGGGAAAAGTAATAATCTATACTTTCTTGAAATTTTGAAAAGGTGCATTTTCCATGATGACAAACTAAATGGTTCAGAGCTAATAGTTATAATTGTAATCTGACTGTGTAATAAAGGGGGCATTTATATATTTTTACACATGTATTTCACTTAAAATGCACAGACACTTTATTAATGAATTAATGAGGGGTGTATTTGGTGTTTGGAGATTTTTTTAAATGCATTAATGTTAGCCAGAAGTAACTGCAGTCAAAAAGGCAGGAATGTCAGCAGAAACTATTAGCTGTGGAAAAAGCCATATGTGCTTACCATTTTCTGATTATCATGGAAGCTGCATGTTTTTTTTTTTATCCAACTCAATACCCAAAGAGTTACTTCAGTGTCCCATAATAACTCTGAAGTCTTCAAAATCTAAAGCCAAGTCAAAGGGAAACGAATCTAGAATCTTCTCGATTTATACGCTATGTTTTATTCGCTAGATTCAGTATCAGTGGTGTAGAAAATGCTTTTTTCAGCAAATCTGTTCAAAATGTAAAAATATGTATGATATAGTTAGTTCTGCATTGCATACTAAATGTATGGTTCCCATGGTAACACGACCCACAAAGTATAGTTTGTTTTAACTTATTAACTCAATATCCTAACCATGACTTTAGGCTCAACAAACAGCTAAACTAAAAATCTTCGTTGCGCACTCTTCCTGTCAAATGTAAACGGTGCAAGATTTTTCATTTTATTTAACATAATCTATTTTATGTTTGAATCCTAACTAGTTATTTTATTAACCTTTCCAGGGAGCTCACTTTGTTCTGGAGTAAACTACTCATGCGATTAGAGGCTTCGGCGGATTCGTTTCTCAGCCACAGCAAAGCGATGACGCTCCTCTGTGGGAATGTTTGTCACATTCTGTTTCTCATCAAAGTCATCCAAAACGAGGTAAGAAAGAAATCCTGGTGTGCGTTGCTAGTACACAACTTTGCCATTACCACGTATATGAGCAATATATTAAAGGAGTGACCTGCAAAGAGCCAGTTTAACATTGGAATGTGCATGTGTCGGTGTTAGACTGCATTAGGTCTTTTGTTGCTAAAATAAAATGCTCTGCATTAACTGCATGTTACATATTTTTTTTAGGTTGGAGAAGTGGGGCTTCCAGTCTGCATAGAAATGTGCATTCAAGCTCTGAAAATGACCTCCGCTGAACATAAAGACAGCAAGTCTACTATCTACAAGACTATTTCCTGCCTGTTGCCAACTGATCTTGAGGTTAAGCGTGCGTGCCAGCTGACGGAGTTCCTCCTGCAGCCCACTGTTGACTCTTACTATGCTGTGGAGTCACTGTACAACGAACCTGACCAAAAGCCTGAGGAGGACGGTAGTCTGCCAGTGCCCAATTCTTTACGCTGTGAGTTACTGTTGGCCTTGAAGACACAGTGGCCTTTTGATCCAGAGTTCTGGGACTGGAAAACACTGAAACGCAACTGCTTAGCATTGATGGGTGACGAAGCATCCATTGTCTCATCTATCGACACACTCAATGACACAGATGAACAGGAGGTGGAAAGTGCACTTGGCAAGCTGCCTGAATACAAAGACCTGGAGGACTTCTTGCTAACAACTACAAATGAACTCAATGAAATTACAGACGAAAAAGAAAAAAACAGAGAGGCAAAAAAACTTCGGGAGCAGGGATTTGTGTCCGCTCGTTTCAGAAATTGGCGAGCCTACATGCAGTATTGTGTTTTGTGCGATAAGGAATTTTTAGGTCACAGAATTGTCCGTCACGCTCAGAAACATTTCAAGGACGGGATGTATCTTTGTCCAATATGTGCAGATAGTTTTGAAAGTAGGGAGGTTTTGGAACCGCACGTAGCATCACATGTAAAGCAGTCGTGCAAAGAGAGACTGGCAGCAATGAAAGCTGCAAGAAACGTAACCAAACCATTGCAGTCCCCTAAAAGTCCATCCAAAATTACAAAGGCCAAGACAAGCACGAGTCCTGTTAAAACGGAACCTCAGGCAGGTGAAAATTTGACACCTCCTGTTAAAATTGGACAAGCTACATCTGACTCTCAGATTAGTCAAGACTGTTTCTGTCCGGTGAAAAACTGCACAAAGGCTTTCAAGTTTTTCCGTAACCTCATGGCTCATGTTAGATCTCACAAGGATGATGAGGAGGCCATGAGGTTTTTAGAAATACAGAAACAGAAAGTGGTGTGTCAGTACTGCAGAAGGCAGTTTGTTAATGTCCGCCATCTTAATGATCATTTGCAGATGCACTGTGGCAGCAAACCATACATCTGCATACAGCTGGATTGCAAGGCCAATTTTAATTCCAACTCTGAGCTTCTCATGCACAGAAAAACCCACCCTGAATTTAAAGCTCAGTGCATGTTCCCAAACTGTGGCCAAGTTTTCAGCGAGGCCTACCTGTTATATGATCATGAGGCCCAGCATTACCTTACCTACACCTGCCAAATAGACAATTGTGGTAAAATATTCTACTTACAATCTGAGTTTTTGTCTCACCAAGAGCATCACAGACCAAATGATGCCGTAAACAATTTTATTATCGTGAATCAGTCCCCTCCTATAACGACAAAAGTAGAACTGCCATCTATGAGCACCCCGGTCAACGAAGACGCATGTTCTGCTGTTTTTAGCTTTGAAAAAAACAATACAGATGCAAGTGTGAATGAGGTAACTGCATCACCGTGTAGATCAGCTGAGGTTGCTAAAGAGGCCGCTCCCATGAAAGTCAAGCACTCGATTGAAAGCATGTTGAATTCAATGGCAGTTCCTGGGATAAAAGAACCTGAGAAATGCTTCACTCCACTCACCAACCCCAGTCCTGCACCCTCTGATGCAAATCTTCCACCAGATGTGCCACATGTGCACCTTAATGTGTCTGGGCAGGGTGATATAACTCCAGTTTATCCTGTTCCCACTGCAACAAATTCAACGGCTAGTCAACAAGCACACCAGCACAATGTTGTACAAGGCAACAAATTTAAGAAAGCACTACCAAAAATAATGTCTCCGAGTCAAATCAAAACTGAAGTCCCTTGTTCACTGCAAGGTTATCCTTCCAGTTCACTCAATGTTACTGCAGGAAGTGAAGAAAATCTGCACTGCTGTCCAAGTCCCGACTGTTCACGTGCATACAGTACAAACAAAAGTCTGTCTAGGCATGTGAAGAAACAACACCCTGAAATATTTGAAGATTGGAAATTGGCTAAGAAATATAATAAAGTGGCTAGAATTGCAGCTAAAAAGGGGAAGAAGTCAAAAAAGTCATTGGTCCTATGCAAAAAACCAGGAATGGAGCGAATGGATTATTCAGTGGGAAGCTCAACCTCAGCATCCGAGTGTTATCCTGGATCAGTTGAGCCCGTGCCTATAACTCCAATGATCAATCCGACAGTATACCCATCCTGGGGGTGCCATAACAATCCCAATGCAATGATGCAGTCAGACATGTCTCAGCCATGGCCTTCAATGTCTATGAATAACTGTTATCCTGAAACCTTCAATATGAGTGAGTACTCTCGCAACTATCCTCACTGGCAGGCAGACGCTTATCAAACCACAATGCCTCAGCCTTCCGAGAGAGATCATTCAATGGCAGCTACACACTGTTCCCCTGTGTCTCATCCTCCTTCAGATTCCAGTCTGATGTCTCAGTATGTGTCCAGCTCTCTAATGCTCGACAATGGTGGCCAAATGCATAACGGAGGAAATCAGTATGGACTTGTGCAAGCTACTGGTACTGCGGAGAATGCAGTGGTGAGGAAAAGCAGTGCAAGTATGATAGGACCGTTGGATAATGGAAACAGTATCTCAACAATTGACAGCCTTCCTGATGGAAGTTACCACACTTCGTACGCTCCAAGTGAAAACTCTTGTCTCACTCAGTCGTCATCAGCTGATGTTCCAGAAAAATGTGGGAGCCCAGAGGTTAAAATTCCAGTAATAGATACAAATGAAATAGTGAAAATCGAGAATGCATCAACACCTGGTTTTGAACAGGTGGACAACACTGTAGATGAGATGCTGAGTCCAAACAGCGTCGTTCACACAGATTTCCCTTATGATGAAGACTGTCCTAATACTGACTGTCAAGCCACCAATTCAGATGAAAAAGGCAGTGAGCTTGACTCACAGAAAGGAAAGCGCAGCAGGATAAGCAAGCGCACCAGGTGGCCAGCAATCATTAAGGATGGTAAAGTTATATGCAGGAGGTGTTTTCGAGAGTTCACAAGCACCAAATCTCTTGGAGGTCATCTGTCTAAACGCTCACAGTGCAGACCTCTTGATGAAATTGACCTGACAGCAGACCTGCCAATGTCGTTTTTGGATTTCCTCAATGACCCTCTTGTCCCTGATGCCAACGGATCTATGTTCAACATGCCAAATGGAGATTTCTCAGAAGAGTCATGCAGCTTGACTACATTTAATACACCTATGCTGTTAAAGCAGGAACCCCAAGTTGTAAATATAATGGACCAATCAAATTCCTTCTCAGCTGGCCCTGAAGACCAGCAGGAGAAAGCAACTGACCTGGGTAATCCTCCCCATGCTGGACCGCACCGGACAGATCACCAGGTGGAAATGTCACATGAATTTCAAAAACCCGATTTGACTGAGGCTGCACAAGAAAAGCTGCAAAATTCTGTGTCCGCAGAACAAAATGCTAGTCAAAGTCAGACAACTCCTCAAATAGAAAAAAGTAAAATGGCAAGAAAAAGTGATGAAAAGCTTATAGGAAAGGGATCTAAACCTTTTAAATGTGCACAACATGACTGTGAGTATTCATTCATGACAAAGGAGGCTTTATTCAAACACTTGTGCAAAATGCATGATTATACCAATGAAATGATTGAAGAGCTCAAAAGATTCCCATCTAGACTGGCCCCGTATCCTTGTCAGGTTTGCTCAAAAACATTCACAAGGATGACAGGGTTGAGAATTCACTATGAAAAAGTCCATCGGTTGTCAAAGTCAGAAATGCAGAAGTTCAACATTAATGCTCGAGTTCGGCGTTCATCCCAAACTACCAGCGATGGCTCTTCAAACAACCAAGTAAGCACTATAAGCACTAAGCAGAACAACAGTAGCACAGTGCAGTCTGTACCTGTAATGCCTATTGTAAAACAAGAACCACTTGACATTGCGATTGCACCTCCACCTGTCATTGAACCCCCTCCAGGTGTTTCTGAAATCACTTCAGAAGTTGCAGAGAAACAAGCCTCGACGCCTGAGATGTCCACTGTTACACGACTACCATCGCCCCAAAACTATTTGAGCGAAAGCCCGCCTGACGAAGTGGCACCGTCAACTCCCGAAAAAGCTCCGGAGCCGCCTAATGTTTCTGTCCCTAACAGTCCAGATGTGAAATTAAAATCCAGTGTAAAAGAAAAACTGAGTCCTGTAGCCAAAGCAGAGGTGCAGCAAGAAACATTAGATGTGTCGCAGAATATAGCTCAAGAACCAAAGACGTCCACAGCATCTGTTACATCCTCCCCAGAGAAACCAAGCAGCTCTAAAAGCTCCCCAACCAAGGAGAAGAGGAGAGGGAAAAGACAGAGAAAGTTGAGTCTAAAAATGTGTGACGCAGACAATGCCTTCAGTCCATACAGACCCTATCGCTGTGTTCATGAAGGCTGCACTGCAGCGTTTACCATCCAGCAAAATCTGATTCTCCATTACAGAGCCATGCATCAGGTGTCGCTGCCCCCGAGCAAGGCTGAAACTGACACCGAAAAGCCAAGTGATACTAATGAGCAGGAAAGCAGTGAGAGCATAGTAACAGATGCTGAAGTCAGGTGTCAGGTGAGAAATTGTTCCAGGGTGTTCATGGGAATCACAAAATTAGTGCAACATTACCTCTTACTTCACAAGTTCACGTACGACAAGGCCACCTCCATGATGGCCAGCATGGCCATAGGAATTTTTAACTGTGATCGGCCAGAATGCGCTCTCCCCTTCAGCTCTGTGGAGACGTACATTGAGCACATTAAGAATTACCACAAAGAAATCGCCGTCTCTGAGAGAGGCTCAGTTGATACAACTTTCCAGTGCCAGTATGATGGGTGCGACCGTGTGTACACTACAAAATCGAACCTCCTCCGCCACCTGATCAAGAAGCACGGTTATGTTTATGACCCTAAAGCAAACGATGGACGGCGGAATAAATCAATCATACTCTTTCCAGGAATCAACAGCGGGAAAGAGAATGTAGAAAACAAAATCAAAGTGAAAAAGAAGAATACTAAGAAGAAAGAAGGGAAGTCCATTGAGCACTGGACTTGTTTTGGCAAGCCTACACTAAAATCTCATGAAGAGGCGTCGGCTATGTGCACCAAGAAGTCACCTCTGCAGTACCCGTGCATGATTATAGGCTGCGATGCTGTAGAACGAGCTGAAAAGAGCATTTTTAAGCATTACACCACTCATGGTCTCACGGAACGATACATAGAAGATCAGAGGAGTCAGTTCATTTTCTGCAAAAAGTACTCGCGCGCCAGATTCAAGGATGCAACTAAAGCAGAAGGGGCGTCGAGTTCTTCCGAGGAGACGGAGGAGACGGAGGCAGACGAAGGCGAAAAGCCAAGCGAGCAGAAAACGAAGGATCCAGGAGAGACGAGAGAAGCAGAGGAACCGATTGTGGAAAAAGTGGTCCAAGATGCAACAAGCAGCAATCTGGTGCAAAATGACAATAAGCTGCCCAACGACGATAGTCCAGAATCTCAAGAATCGCAAACTTCCATTGGGACAGAAGTTGGACCTAAACGAGGCCGTCCTAGAAAACCTGCACAGCCTACACCAGCATGTCCCGAGAGGATGCTGACCCTTAGAAACCGCTCGACTGTTACCAGTTCAAGAGAGAACTCAAATCCTGGTACCCCCACTTCCCAAGAGCAACATGACGAAGGGGTTGCGCCGCAGCCTTTCAAGTCTTTAGGACTTGAGGACTCATTCCTTAAGCTCTTGGGAACAGAGTCAACAAACTCTCCTAAACAAAAATTAAACGAGACATCCAATGCTGAAGCTGAAGTGCCGCCTAAACGGAAGAAAGCTTACAAACCGAGGTTTGCAAAGCGAAGTAAAATAACTAATGACATTAAAGACTGTGATAATTTTATAGACTTTAGAAACCCCTTAAAGCTGACATCTGGGATTAATGTAAAAATAGTTCTGGACAAAACTTTTTTGGATGGTGCTGAAAGTTCACTTAAGCAGCTACAACACATGAAGCCCACAGTTGTTATTAAAAGGTGGCTTTATAGTGCATCATAGCCCAATATTTAGTTTTCCACTCGGTCTTACTCAGGATTGGAGACATTATGCTGCAGAATGGTTTATTTCTTAATGAATCAGATTTCCAACCCAACAGTCGTGGTCACAGGTGACAATTAAATGGCCTATTTTGTACCTAATCATGATAAAACAGTTGTCTGATGATTTTAAGTATGTATGTTAGTTATAATAACCAGGTATTCTATAGGGCATAGATTTTAGAAACATGTTTGTATTTATGCTTAGTACTGAAGATGTTTTTTTTTTTCTTCTTTTACTAAATGGACACTTTTAAAGAAAACTGTTTTTATATATCCCTATGGGATTTCAAGTTCTGTTTGTATTTATTTCATCCCTTTTCAACACTAGTAGACCTATCTGTAATATTTACATGTCTTCCACAAAGTGTTCAATAAAATGTTACTGGCTCTTTTTATAAAACCTGACTAGAGGATATACTTTTTTCATATCGATTTAGATGTTTTAATAAAAAAGCCTTTAGGGTACAACAGATGATAAAAGATTTATGGAATACCTTCACAGAAAATCATAGAAAGACTAGCTCATTTTTAAATATATTTCTCAGTGGTTGAAAATTATTTGCAAGAGTTAAACATTGATGATTTTATTGTTAGTAAAATGTCCTAATTGGATAAAAAAAAGATATCTGGTTATTGTAAGACTTTGTTAATATTTTCATGTTGACTGAAAAGTTTTTGATTCAGCAGCATGCACATTGGAAGTTCAGCACATGTATAAATTCAAAAGTTGTGCACATCACATTTTCCATTTTATTACATTCTTAATTCTGAATAAATTGTTTTGAAATCCAGCATGTAGACATGAAGTATGGCAAGCCCATTTACAAGTTTATGTTATCCACTTCTCATTTTTCCAGTTCATATGTATCATTCTTTTAACTTCAGATATGCACATGTGCATTCTGTCTGAAATGAATCTTGTGTATGACAAAATAATTATTTTAAGGAAACTCACATTTTAGCCATCTCCAATCACATTGTAGCATGTTTCATATAAGATGTTCAAAATGAAAAAGTGTTTCTAGGTTTAAAGGTTTCTTATGGGTAATTATTTATATCAAAAAGTTAAGCAATTTCATACACCTGTAAATAGAATATAAATTAGCAACAATGTAAATTCATTTATTTCCATGTTTTTATGTGCACATATATTTTCAATATCAGGGTCTTGATAAAATGCCCCTTTAGGATAATTATCTGGAAATGAATATCAGGTTATAACTTCACTTTCACTTTTGGCTGAAATGCTTTAGAGAACTGCTGTTAAGTGCATTTTTAAAGCAACAAAAACCACACACAAAAAAGCAGGTATGCGATTATATGTTACAAGGGTTTGCCATACAGGAGATCACGGCTGTTTCCGTAAACGTCACATTTGGCGGGAAGGCTTTCTGCGCGACTCTGCCTTTTAAAAACGTGCTAGCACCGGCAGCCATTTAACTTGAGTAAACAACTGGTTTCATACGACCATGTCCACTTCGTCCGTCTCAAAGGTAACTCATTTTGTGTTTTTAATTAAAGACGCTCCTTGATACAGTCTTTAAACAAAATGGCGTCTTGTAAGTGCGTTTGTTTGGACGAAACTGACCAAAATATATGCTTTTGCTTCAAGGGCTGCTTTGTTTTCAAGCCCAGTCCTAAAAAGAAGAAGCAGCAGCCTCACGATTTAGGTGAGGTTTATCCAGCTTTATTCACTTACTTTGAATTTAAACCTCAGATTCAGGTGTTTTAATGTTGTTTTCTGCTCACAGAGAGTTTTTTCATCCATGGCTGTGAAGGTGCTGACAGCAGTCAGCTGAGATTCAACCTGTGTCAGGATCTGTGGCACAAAATCAAAAGTGACACAGAGGTAAGAGCAGCCCAGACATTATAGTCATTTGAAGTTGTCTATTATAGAGACACACATAGTAATCAGTGTTTTATTATTGTTAAATCAAATCAAATCAGATCCGTTTAAATTGTGAGCAGCAGCTCCTGACAAGATTAAAGTGTTCGTTGATGGAAGTGTTTTCCTTCTGATAAGGTTTTACAGGATGATCTGAACAGAAAAGTCTTGGACAGCTTGCTGGAGTTCACCAAGAAGTGCTCCACTCGTGCACACGACGACTGGACCTCGCAGATGAGGGCCAGTGAAATTCCCACCGCCGCTCTCGTGTTGGGTACGCAGTCACCAAGTATTGTCAGGTTGCTCATTTGACATTTCTGCGGGAATAATTTGTTCAAACGTATTATTTCTGCTTTAGGTGTGAACGTCCCAGATCATGACATGACCTTCCAGAGCCTGTCTGAGCTCCTCCGGCAGTCCGTCACTCCTTTCGTCGCTTCTGTTCAGGCCAAAGAGTGTGGAGGTAACAACCTAAAAGTTGGAGATAATCCAGTGCTTGGATGTTGGTGCATTCTGTTTTTTTTTTTTTTTTTATTCAGCGCTGAAGCATTTGATGAAGAAGGTCCTGGAGAGATTGATGGACACTGATGTGGCTGTGGTTGATGATGATGATGATGAAGAGGAGGTCGACGGTGAGCAGAAACGGCTGTGCAGAAGCGTGCACTGCTCTCTGACCGCTCTCTGTGATTGGTACATTTCAAAAACAAAGGTGAGGCCCCGGCCCACGCCCGGCTGTGCAGGTTCTTCGTTTGGTTGCAAGGTGCTCACAGATCATGATGTTTTTCAGAAATCCAGCTGTGGCACTCCGGGGAAAAAGCGCAGTTCTTCTGCGAGTTATGAGCAGCAGCCTCCTGTTGTGGTCATTTTGAAAGATTTGGAAGCTTTTAATCCAAGAGTCCTTCAGGACTTCATACATGTCTGCAGGTAAGAAAGAACCTCGGTGTGAGTCTTAACGCTAAAAGTTGTTTTGATAGAACAACGCTCCATCATGGTTTTATAAACACTGGATCCAATAACACTAAGTGGCGTTCCTCAGATTTAAACAAAGATCATCTTATGTTGTGTATGTTTGATTAAACCTTGAAAATTTAGTTGTGCTTGATCTAGTGATAATCCAGTTTTTGTCATTTGTTAGCGCCTGGGATTATGTGTTGTGAATGACTCTACTACCATGGCAAAATTTAGCTTAATGTCTTTTAATTGATTGTGATACATTTATTTTTGTCTAGGCTAATATTTAACTGTGGCAGCCATCTTTAATTAATTACCTTTTTATTTTATTCAGTTTAGCTTGGAATGAATACTTTCTGAAACTTTCAATACACTTCGTTGATATTTTGCTCAACACATAAACACACACGAGCATAAACATTGTTTCTCCACCTTAATGCTGGCAGCAAGAGATTATAATGGTTTGTTACAGAGATTATAATGGTTTGTTACAGAGATTATAAAGGTTAGTTACAGACATTATAAAGGTTAGTTACAGACATT